AGGGGGTGTCTCCTGTCCCCGGGACAAACACACTGCCTGAGGAAGGTTATGTGTATTTTTTTTGTCATTAACTTTTTTCGGACCACTTATTTATTTATTTTGGTGACGATCCGACCTCCATGCTGCTACTCTGGTTCAAACTGCATCCACCAAACAATATGATTTATCTCCACCTCCCCACAATCACCTAAATCTGACACGGTGTGAGATGTCTTTTTTAGCTGTTCTATCGTAATTTCCTGCGATCTTCTTCATGCAGTCAGTCAAAATGAATGAATGAATGGGCGTTTCTTTGACTATGTATAGGCAAATATGGGCGTTACGAGTCGATTGTGATTTATAAAGGGAAACAGGCGTAGGGAGTGCCGTACGCACTTCCCTCGCCGGTACGCAATGTTTTGTGAATCGGAAAATGGCGGAAAATGTATGTACCTATTTTTGTGCTTTGTACTACGTAAGCAACCTTCCTACGTCAATCCTACGCAAGGCGTTATAAATGAGGCCCCAGATGTCCCGCTTTGCGCGGGACTGCACAGCATTTTCACGACTTTTGGTGCGTCCCGCAAATTGAGACGATGTCCCGCATATTTCATTTTGATTGGCTAAAACGCTTTTCTAAAATCAGATTTATCCAATGGCTGTTGAGAAAGCAGGGAAGGCTATCATCACGGAGCTGTGTTTGCTGTCAATCAAACTGTAAGACACGGCGGGTGCTGGTCAAGTGTTAACCAATGAGAGTAACTCACTCACACACACACCGCCGCGGCCCCGCCAATCAACAACAATGAAAGTCAATAACGCAGGCGACGCAGCAGGTTATGGAAAATGGAGGAAACTGAAACTACAGCTAAGAAAAGAAGAAGATGCACATACAACAAAGACTGGGAAGACATTTACCCGTGGGCAGCGGCGGACTGGGACTACAAATCAGCCCGGGACTCTCGACCGGCCCACCTCGGTACCGCAAATAATCACCGCTAGTACATTTTCAACGGGGGGGGGGGGGGGGGGGGGGGGGGGGGGGGGGGGTGTTGAGAGGGTGTCCCACATTGTCCCACACAAACATACTCCTTGTCCCACATTTGGTTTGTTGGGACCTGGTCACCCTACTCATGAGCATTGTACATTTGTCTTCAGAAATCACGGTGATCCACACCTGTGATATGTAGGGAGTAAGAAAAAAGGGTTAAATATGTTGTAATCATTTTGGCTTTAAAATGAGTGTTTTACAGCAATGTTGATTTGAAATTGTAGGTTCCATATTTCTAAGTAATAAGTTGGTAAGTAATATATTGGAGCGTGCTGGTAACCTTCAAGTAGTTGGGTATCGCAGATAAAATGGTAACACATCTGTTCATCCAACGGCTAGATTTATGCTAATTATTGACATTTGCAATGAAGATGAACCTGGTATCACTTTCAACCACAGAGACAGCGCCAGTAAATAACCTCAAGCATCCTGTGTTCTTGGAAACTGACATAGACCGTTTAAGTGACTGTATGTGCGCCACATATCTTAATGTGGTTTGTGCACAGTGTTCCTGTGCTGAAAACATTTGTCAGGTATGTGTTTTGGTTGTGTGAGTTCTTATGAGACATTCAGGCACGAGGGCAGCAGGCCTCATGCTAAGCAGCCCAGGAATGCACCGGGATCAGCTGTCCCTTGACCACATGACCCCATTACTGCCCCCCTCCGGCCCGCCTACTCCATCACACCTCCCCGTGAAGCCATTCTCCAGTCACAGCCATTATGTGAGGTGGGGGTGAGGACAATATAAAGAGTCACAGCTGGTGAAATCCTACAACTTTATTTCGACATGTAACTCAGAGCTCCTGGAATCTCATGGATTTTAGACAAGCCTCATCAGATGGGGTATTGAGAAGAAAATGCTGGTGATAATGCACAACATTGTCACACATTATGCAGGATACAGATTTGTCTCCAACCCCAAGGTTTTAAAACATCTGATCCTGAGAGAGGAGTCATGTAGACGTTTCCCAAACAACCCCTGGCTTTGCTGATTTATCCCTCTCTCACAGTGGATCAAAAGTCTGTCGAACTTGAGTTCAGTGTGGTCTGCCTATGATAGGTCTCCACACTTGGTCACTGTAGACTTTACCAGGTCACGCAACCTGTTACCTACAGGCAACAGGTCTAAGTCAGACAGCGTATGGAAACAAACTAACTTGAGGGTTTTGTAATACTAGGTGGGAGAAGCAAAACAGAGAATCGCATCACAACTGCCTTTTTTCTTCTTACAAAAATAACAAATACGCACCTAACACACATCTTGACAGGAAGCATGCTGCGTTTCTAGGGAAACCACCGCTGTTAAGAGATGTTGAGCAGAGACAGAGGCGAGCCTGGATATGTCTCTTGTGCAATTTACTTCATTCAAAATTGCGTAACCTGTGTTTTAGAAGAAGCTGGCAGCAGCTTCATCACTGCTGAAGGAGGGGGTTGTATGTATGGGGTAGAGGAGGGGATGACATATTTAGTGGATGCTGTATAGGTGACAATGGGACTTTTGTTCTGCTTTCTGCCTTGTGATGGTGTCACATGGGCTCTTTAGAGGAAGTACTTATTTACCCTAAGCAGGCTGTGTGATCAGACTTCCCGTCAAGAGCATCTGGGGAACACACACACACACACACACACACACACACACACACACACACACACACACACACACACACACACACACACACACACACACACACACACACACACACACACACCACACAAAGGTTTGTTACCCTGGCAAATGCTAAATTCAAACCTAGTCACCTCACATACTTTGCCCGGCCTCCTCAGTGCTGACTATCAGCTGAATCGATAAAAGTTAGCTCCTGCATGATTTATCCACGCTGAGTAAGAGAGACCCAGGGCTTCCTACAGGCACACAAGAGCTGCACAACACTGAGAAATCACCTGTGTTACAAGATTATGTATGTCATCTTGAAAAATCATTTATTTGCCTCTAATGTGGTTAAGTAGCGTATGGAGTCTCTGGATGGAAATTGCATTTTCTGTGATAAACTAATGACTGTTGTGCTTGGGAGGCAGCAGGATGGCTTGTGGAGAAAGACGTCTTGATATTTGATTTAACAGACCAGAGAAGCAAAGGTTTTATTGCTGTACCTCTTCTAAGCTACAATTGTTCCAGGGCAGTGGCTCCATTTTCTTGCCTGCAGCCTTGTTATTTTTTATGGAATTTCTATTCTGGATAAAGCCATTTTCTCCCACATTTCGCTCCACATTCCTGCTAGTGTCTCATGATGAGAGGTCATGCATATGTGTGACTCACTCACTCCCTTTCAGAGGTGAGTTTGTTATCTCTTGTCTGTTTTCCTTTTTTTTCTACTCCAGAATAACTTCTTGTTGGTTGCTGACATCAGAAAGTGATTTTTGCGTACTATGACAATTAACACCTGTACTATCACGAACATGTCACATATCCCCACGAGAGGCTTTGCTGCTCACTGGAGTCAGGGAAGGTACCATTACATGACTATGTGTTTGAGGTAAGGAACAGGTTAAGTACTTTCTCTATTGGCACCATTAGTCTGATTTCATTACTTCCACAACCTTCTCTATTGATTATTCATTCCGTCTGGTCGCAAAAAAGCAGCCTCATACGACCCAAACACGTCTTCTACAAACCCCTTTCTTCTGCCAACCCCTTTATTCTGCCAAAATAAAAACTTTCCAAGAGCTCTTTTGTGTTGTGAGTTTGTTGGGGTTAGGGTTGCTGTGGCACAGCCTAGCTTAATCAGCATGTAGTTACTAGGCATTTTTTGCTTTATTTTAAGGAGCCCAGCGGGGAGTTTTCCACTGAAACTAAAACCAGGTGGAATGAATGCAACAGAACTAGGTGTGGCCATCTGTTTACTGGTGTTTATTGGGAAGTGCATACCATATACGCAACATATCTACCATAATCCCAATGGAGCACAACTTCCTTGATTTTATTTCCCTTTCATTTGATAGCTGGCAACAGCCCCCAAATGAAAGCCAAACATCTCAACTTTTCTGGGTATCAACTCCCTACCTCTCTGTGGTTTTGTTTCTGTCTGACTTCCTATAAATGTTTGCTTCCCTCACTTCCGCCGGCTGCTACTATAGTTAGTTACTCTCTTGATACAGCCAGCCATGTTAGAAGCAAGTTTCCCATCTAAGCTGAGAGGAGACTTCCCTTCCTTGGCCCCCAACCTCCAACTCCCTCCCACTTCTCACTGAGAAAGTGAGGAATAAAAGAAGCTTATGTGTGTTGGTAGGAGTTTGGTGGGTTTAAGCAGTCATTCTGATTGGATGGGAAGTCTCTGCCCCTCACTTGCTTTGCCCCATATTGGTTTTATACATCTCCTGATACGCAAAAAACACATTTGCCAAGAGGCAAACTGTGGGCTAATTCAGTACTGGGCACTCATGTTACTGCCTCCTTTTTGTGCAAAGGGGAGAGGGGCTTAAGGGGTGTGGGCGGAGGATGGCTGGGGGAGGGAGGGGAAAGCAGAGAGGGAAGTCTGGGGCTCTGGGTTGGGGGCGGAGAATAGAAAGAGCTTTGGCACAAGGGTGGAAAGTACTGTAGGATTGTGAGTTTGACTGTGTGAACACATGAGGAAATAAGATGTGTGGATTAAAGAGACATGGCACGGATTAAAGTAGGATGTGGAGCAACAAAAGATTGGTTTCTTTTCAGCTGACCTGGACCCAAACAGGAAGTGAGGAAGGACAAAGTAGAGTACAGAAAACTTGCCTGAACAAGAGGCAGAAAACGGAGAAAGGCAACTGAGGAGGCGTTCTCTCACTCACCCGAAGGAAGAGCAGAAACACTGAGTCAAACCAGACAGACAGACAGGAAGAGGATAAAGAGTGGGGAGTAAGGTAAAAAAAAAACATAAGAAAACTGAGAGGCAAAAGATTAAACCTATTGAGAGAGAAAGAGAGAGTGTGTGTGTGTGTGCGTGTGTGCGTGTGTGTGTGTGTGCGTGTGTGTGTGTGTGTGTGTGTGTGTGTGTGTGTGTGTGTGTGTGTGTGTGTGTGTATGTCATTTTAGACAAGGAGAGAGAGAGCGCCAATGAGGGAGAAAGGAAATCAAGAAACAGAGAGAGGATAACAGAAAGCAGACATTGGGTGAGTGTTCATCAAGGTGAAGCAGAGAGAAAGACAGAGAGACAGACAGTGAGGGGGTTAGCGGGTGAAGTTAGCAGGAGTGGAAAGGTATGAGGGGACAGCTCTTGAAGTCATTCTTCTCTTTGGTGATCACTCTCTTCTGTCTGGGGAGCCTGCTGACCACTGTCATCTGGTATATGGTCGACAACAAGTAAGTGTTTCCCAACCTTTTTCAATCACACACACACACACACACACACACACACACACACACACACACACACACACACACACACACACACCACACACACACACACACACACACACACACACCACACACAACACACACACCACACATGTTTTACAACTCATGTAATTCTTTTTGTCAAAAGACACAAAACTATGGAAAGTGTATTAGTACAAAATGAGTTGTCAGTTCAGGTCTCTGATCGTACCAGGTGTAGAGTATTGACTGGTACTTTGAGAGGTGCTTGTTCACCTCCAGGCTGAGATGCCCCTTTAGCAAGGTACGCGACCGCCACATTGTTTCCCTAGTGCTGTATAGTACCACCACAATGCTCCTGATACCTAGGATAAGGTAAATGCAGAGGCTACATTTCAATGTGTTATTTTGATTTGATTTATTTCTAACGTGTAAAACAATAATACAAAAAAATAATAATAATAATTAAATGAAACATGAAAATGATTATACTGTACAAACTTAAGCAGTGTCAAATTCATAAACAAAAATATTATTGACTTACAGGCTATATATAAACAAATGATCTACCTAATTACACATCCGAAAAGGGGTGGGAAGAAGTTTACACTTATTTAATCCCACCCCTTCTCCCAAAAACTAAATTATTAACATATATATTTTTTTTCTTTCAACAAAATGTACATCTAAATGTATGTCTACATACAATACATTTACAATTTTAAATAGATTATATCATTATTACTACAATAAATATATATATATATACATATATTATTATTTTACGTTGTATGTCATATTTTACAAGACAAATATCGAATGTGGATTCAATTTGAATCTTGTATTTCCATATTTGTACATGTTTGTTTGTTGCATGTCATAAGCTTTATGAGACCATGTGTATCTGTGCTTTTAATTAATTGATTCATCTCAAAATATTAAGCACTCTAATTGTAATAATAATAGTGGAGAATGTGGAAAATTGATTTGCAAAACGTCACTTTTGAAGTTAATTTATTTTTAAATGGTGTTCTGTTAAGTATCTATGTTAAGAAAGTGAAAAGCAATTTTTGTAACAAATGGCCAAAACCCTAACCCTGAAACCCCATTCATTCATTCATTCATTGGAAGTGCTATATCAGAGGCAGTTTTAGAATACCTTAACTGTCCTGTTTCTGAGCTGGCGCAACAACCAATACCCATAAACACCCTCTATCAAAGACTTTTTGCATACTTCATAACAGGAAAAGAAGAGGACACATAACTGTAAATGCGAAACATACCATAGATTACAGACATTACAAAACTCTGACCAGGGTGCACAAATCTCCTGCTAATATATACCAAAGTAGCAAAGGTCTCTGCACATGTGTGTGTACATTGGTTGTTCATTAAGAGAAGAGACTTACCATTGCTCTACCTCATGTCAACAGTAGAACCACACAAAATATAACATTAATGTGGCTTGAAGCTAGAAGTGCATGCACATAGAACTTTGTGTTTAACCACTTAGTTGATTGTATAAAAGCATTTACTGCTTGTACTCCCTTACTTTACATTTCTGGTGTGTAGTATTTAGGGGGATCCATTGGCAGAAATGTAATATACAATTCAAAAACATGTTTTGAGTAGTCTTTAATCAAGACAGCTAAGAGTAGTTATGTTTCCTTACCTTAGGCCATTCATACCATAGGCAGCGGGTCCTCTTCCACCTGTCATGTTTTACAGTAGCAAAGGGACAAATCATACACTGGCTCTGGATAGGGCCTTCAATTAAGGAGTGTAATGATGCCATGGCCTATGAGCAAGGCAAAGGTGCTGGAAGTTATATGCCAAATCCTTCACACTGTCCCTTTAATTAAGATTGCTTCCTTTAACATAAAGTTGCATGGAATTAATCAATACAACCGATAGAAAAATAACTAATCTTTGTCTGACACCTGCCTATTTCCTTACCTGTCCTGTTTCTCTCTTGTTCACTCCGCAGTAATGTGGAACCTCAGAGGCCGCATCCTAAAAAGAAAAGCGCCCCTGAGCCCTCTGACCCCTCTGACCCCTCTGACCCTTGTAAAGGCTGCAGGTGAGGGCAAAAACCATTACTGTTTCTATTCAGAGGAGCTTTGTGTTCATGCTTGAATCATATCAAGACAAAACAGCACTACAGTGATAAAACACTTGACTGTGTGTTTGTGTTTGTGTGTGTGTGTGTGTGTGTGTGTGTGGGTCACACAGAGAGGTCATCAACAAAGTAATAGAGCGTTACTCTCAAACCTGGAGGAAGCAGGAAAACAATTACCAACAATTCAGGTAAACTATGACACAGGTATTTTATTTTTAACTTTGGAAACAACAAAACAACCGCTATACCATGTATATGTTTTTATACATGTCCCTGGGATGTACAATCAATATGATTTAAAAGGCAGTTCAAATAAATTGTACATTAAGCCGAGCTCAAGAGGAGTACTTCAATAAACTATCATTACCCAACTCCAACACCATATTGTTGGGTCAACTCACCTGATTGACATGTTACACAAAAAGCTGAAATATTAAAACTGGTCTTTTAAATATAAATGCAATGCATCAAATTAAAGTGTACTAGTTTCAAAGATTGACAGACAAATCAACAGATTTGTAGAATGTGTTTTGCTCTTTGTATGGTTAAAAATAAGTACAGAACAGTCAGAAGCAAGAAGAAGAAGTGAGAATAGAAGTATAGATAAAAGCAGAGGAACACATGACATTGAAATTATAGCTACATGTTTTAAGGTCATATGAGTTATGGAAAAACAGAAAGACTTCCCCTGAAGGACCAAACACTGCTTCTACCAACCTGGGTCTCTTTATTCAATTAAAAACATTACAGGAAATTAGAATCTTCGTATTTATAACCTGAACAAACTGCCTGACTTGTGTAAATTATGAAGCGTTCTGTCTTTAACTCCCCTGACCTTCTTGTAAGTTATTTAACAAAGTCCTTGTGTTTCCCCAGCTCTCAGCTGAGCAGTCAGTGCCATGGTTTGGACAGGGCCATCATTACCCAGGCCAACACTCCAGTGGGATCAAAGATTGTGTACGATGGAGATAAGAAGAAGACCCTCAAGGTGACCCCCGAACTTTTCAGCACCTTTGCAAAGGTATGTTGTTTCTCGTTTGTGAATATAACCACAAAATCTGCTGCTTATTGCCTTCATTGTTCCAAATGTATTACCTCAGAGATGATTTATTACTTAGCTCTAGTTTTGCCATAAGTCATGTATTTACTCACATGTTGACTCTCTGGTTTAGTTAGGGGCTCACATTTGTGAAAATACAGAATAGATTCAAGCTAGATTTGCAGAATAAGTTCAAACTGAGCTGCTGGACTTTGAAATCCTTTGTTGCTGCCATACACGTCAGTAGACAAAGGTTGAGTGACTGAGTAGGTAAGGATTGCTTGTCGTGATAGATGAAAAGGGAATCACTAAACGTTATGAGAATTCATCCTCTGGAATCTATGTATTTTGCAGAAATCCATCAAAGTTTGAGAAAAGTTTCAATGTATTGTCAAATACTGCACAAGTATGTGTTACTTGTAACTCTGTCCTGGTGGGTGGGGACGAGGCAGCAAGTAATAGGAATCAAGTGTATACAGTCAATCGGTCAGACAGGAACTGTGAAAGGATTTGTTAATAAAATGAAGTAAGATACATTTACTGAGAAATAACACTAGGATTAACAGGGATTGGTAGGCGGAAAGAGTGCAGGCGGGCAGGTATATGTTCAGTTACAGGTTCCCGGTAATAGGCTTCAGGAACAAGAGAGATATCATAGGAAAAGTACTGGGACAGACTTTCTTACTGACACCCTCAACTCTTTCTCATATGATCTAGTAATTTGGACCTTTTTTATTTGTCTCTTCATGTTCAGTCTCAGGAAGTGACGCATCACTATACATAAACAAACAGTCAGCGATGACTGATTGTCATCAAGCAGACTCAAAATAACTTTGTCATCTGAAAGTTTAAGTGTGGTAGTGTGCTTAATTTACCGTGACTGGCCAGATGGAAAAAGTTAAGAAAGGTTATTTGCTCTAGATCTACTTTTTCTATACATTTTCTATCAATGTCCATGTGAACAATTGAGTGCACCCTGAGAATACCTTCAAGGAGAGACAGGGGACCGTTATCTCCATATTTAAACAATACCATATCTACCCCCTTTCTTTAAGGGTCTGCTTCTCACTCAGCCTTAGGTGTGAAATGGTTGTGATTATGTAAATAGCCGCTTTCACACCAAGTACTTTGCCGTACTTAGTGCCGGCACTTAGGCGTTGTGCACACGGGAACGTTTGCGTTTATGCACAGTATGCGCTTTCAAAAAAGTCTTCCGTTCACATGCATTCGTTTCATTTAACGTGTCTGTTCAAACGAGACCGCTGGAAACGCTGTAGTACATATGCCAGGACTGTAAGTGGCGCTGTAACTTCCGCCAAAAGCAGCGAAGAAGACCCCGTAGCAGCCCCGCAGCAATGTTGCCATGGCTACCCTTCTGTTTATGCCCCGCGGTGGATTTAGCAACATGTAGTAGTTAATGTAATTCTCCATGTCCACTTGTTGCTGATGGTTGTGGTAGAGGAGCTGTAGATGTTGTACTAACATCTGTAGCATGGTCAGTAGCAGTAGCACTAGCAGTAGCTACTGACAGTAGCTACTGGCCATGCTACAGCAGTGAGCAGGAGAGGTGGGGCTATCGTTATTTTGTGTGTGGCGATTGCTGGTATTCAGCGGGATATAGTAATTTCCTCAGCATGTAAATATATGGATAAATGCAACGGGGAAGTTAACTGAAAGAAACCGAATCTGTGGATATTGCATCGACCGACCAAGAAGCACGTCTCCGTGGAGAGGACGCGCTCAGAAAGAGAGATATTCTCTACAAACACCGGGTGAGCAATGAACAATAATGGCCTGGATTAGGCAGTAAAGACAATTTTGGTGTATCGCAGAGCGGACTGTTTAATTTTGTTTGTGTTGTTTGGCTGGAAAATTGTCAATATAATCAGTGGCGACTGGTCATTAGGGGCAGGTGGGGCACAGCCCCACCTAGTGTCAGCAGAAAGTATTACAAATAATGATTACAAAAATGCAAAAAAAAAAAAAAAAAAATATATAAAATATATTTTAAGATCATGTTTAATCATCTGATTCGTCTGTACATTGCTGTTTTAGTCTGTGTTCTTCTAATTAGTGTGTCTACAGTCACAGTGTGTGCCTATTGAGCTGTTTAGAGCCATGTGGGACAAAACCTGATTATGCCCCTTCCTCTCGCTGTGAAGTGAACGTGACTGTAAAACTACACTGCGCATGCTCAGAGTATTTTGTAATGTAATGTGTGTGGCAAAAAAATAATGACCAGAGGGGCACGGAGCTACCATCCCCACCATACGTCATCTCAAATCATTCAGAGCTGATTGGCTGTAAGTACGTGTGCCGCGAAAAGTGTGGCGCTTGAAGAGGAGACGAGAGAGCTGCAGTGGCGCGTCCTAAAACCAGGAAGTAAGCACAAAAAAGCAATGAGATTTCTCCAGAGGATTTTAGAAAATAGCTCGAAATAAGATCTGTGGGAAACGTACCTGTTAGATAAATGCACGTTTTGATTAGCCGGATAACATCCACATGTCTACCCTACTTTTATAATTTTTTTATCATAAATCTATGGATTAGATTTATGATAGACTTTTGAAACTACAAGAAGATAAGGAGGACTTTTACAAAAAAGTAATAGAAATGTTTGTCCAGAAGGATAGGAAAATGGACTTCATCTTCAAGTCAAGGTAAGACCGCCATTTTATTGAAAATGGGATCTTACTAAGAGAGAACAATTCAATATTTAAATGATAAAATTACATTTTTTGGGTATCCTTTTGTTGAACTGTCTGTTTAAAATGAATCGAAGCATCAGACAAAAAAAGCTTTTGAAAATAATATTATATTTTGGTTTAGGTCAAAATATAATATTTGTAAACCTGAAGAGTCAGTGCCAGTGCCTCACCAGCCATGAACCTCACTGCACGTCACTGCAGAAGCTTATATATAGACATCTAAGTTGTTTGTGCCCCACCACTTTTGTACATATAAAAACGCCACTGAATATAATGGATCAATGCATGAAATCTGACTCTGTTTATTTTGTTTAAGGAGTATATTGGGCGTTAACAATTCTGGTTTGCCTTTTATAATATTATTTCATTCAAGAACCCCTTGTGCGTTTAATTAACACAGCTATTTTTGATAGTTGATCGTTACAGATGGCTACTGGCCATGCTACAGCAGTGAGCAGCAGAGGTCGGGAGAGGTGGGGCTATCATTATTTTTTCAGGAAATATTCGTATAGAGGTGATTACACGGACTCGGTTGACCCCCCAGAGAGTTTCGTTTGCAAATCTATCCACCTTGGGACCCGTTATCGTTTGTGGGGTCCGTTTCTATCGGCCTCGTGTAAATAATAGGGCTATACGCACGCGAAACTATGCAGATACAAGCCGTTTTGTCCTCGTGTAAACGGCGGTTTACAGTAGAAGCTGCTGGGACTCCCAGCAGCTTCTACTGAAGCCTTCCGAGTAAATCGCCAGAACGCCGACACCTCCTCATCTCCACCGCTCCCATGTTTTCTTTTGTGTTGCCATAAGTTAGTCTCTCTGCGTTTCTGCGCTGGGCTAATGCTAATGCTAATAATGCTAATGCGAGGATAATAAAATGGCGGCTTCACAAAAACTTTTTGGGAGTTTTACGGGGCGTGGTTTGCAATTCGCCCAGCCAATAGAAATTGGTACTTTTTTGGTACTTTTTTGGTACCACCTCTCTAGCAGGCACTGGAAATATGGGTAAAAGTTCCCGGCACTAAGTACTCTTTTTGGTGTGAACGCGACATAAGGGGTACTAACGGAACTAAACGGGAAAAGTACGGGGTAAAAGTACTACGGTGTGAACGCACCTATTGTTGGTTTCGAGGAGGTACAGATTGGACAAAGGCCCTTTATTCAGGTGTCTTGAAGGTTTTTGGGGAGACTAGTTCCAACAATCCAACCAGTATTTCTATAAAGGTTTAATAGCAGCTAAACTTATCTCAAGTCTGAAAGAATTTGTGCATTTTCATCTAATTGTACTTAATCCTAATCCTCTGGCTATATAATTCCATCCTTCAACCACAGTTAATGACAAATAGAAAAGCTTTTTGTTTTGTAATACAATTCCTGCTGGATTTATTTCCAGGAGCATCCGTTCCCTAATAAAACTTGGGACACGTGTGCTGTTGTCGGGAATGGAGGGATTCTGACAAACAGCAGCTGTGGAGACATCATCGATTCAGCACAGTTTGTTATCAGGTGAGAAAGCTATTAATATTAGAGGACTGAAAGGCTGATGAAAATGTCATCGACAGAAATAAACTTGTCTCGGTCATTCATTTTATGAAAGAATCTTTATATATCGTTTTTGCTGTCTTTTCAGGTGCAACCTACCTCCTTTAGGAAAAGGCTATGAGAAACATGTGGGCACCAAGACTGACATTGTGACAGCCAACCCAAGCATTTTCCTAGAGAAGTAAGCAAATAAATTAGTCTCACTGCACCAATAGAGTGTTCTCCTTGTGTTGTTGCTTGACATATCCTTTTTATTTTCAGGTATGGGGCTCTAATGGGGCGTCGGCGTCCATTTGTGGAGAGTCTACATAGCTACGGCAAGTCCCGTCTGCTTCTTCCCGCCTTCTCCTATGGCCACAACACTCCTGTGTGCATGAGGGCAGTATACAGCATTGAGGACTTTGAGAGTCCCATCCAGCCCATCTTCTTCAACCCTGAGTACCTTCAGAGCCTGGCCCTCTTCTGGCGTTCCCGAGGCTTACGAGCAGTGCGCCTCAGCACAGGCATTATCATGGCTAGCATAGCGCTGGAACACTGTGCCAACGTGCATCTGTACGGATTCTGGCCCTTCGGTAATCACCCACATGGACTCCATGCACTGACTAACCACTACTACGATGACAGACAAACTAAAACTAAATTTCACTCCATGCCTGCTGAGTTTGACCTCTTGTTGCAGCTGCACAGTCAGGGGGTGCTCAAGCTTCACTTGGGAGACTGTCAACCAGGTGAAAAGTAGTTCCCAGGTCCAAATTAGCTGGCAGGACAGTGTCAAAGTGCCTTTTGTAGCCCAGTCACTCATGACGTTTTTCATATCATTTTGAACGAATGTACATATGTATTCTGGCTGAAACATGGAATTGGTGTGTTCAAGCAAGGTAGATTTGTGAATTTAGATGTAATGCTGAGTCATTTACCAGGACATTTGCACTGATATAAAAAAGAAACAATCTTAAGACTGTAGCATTATGTTAACAGTCTTGTGGTGTATGTAAAAATGTATTTATTACCAACATTTTTCCAGCTGGAGTCTGGAGGGAGTTGGTTTGATTTAAAGGTCCCCTATTATACTGTTTGTCATCAATATATAATAGGTCTCAGATATATACACAACATTTGGCTTGAAATACCCAACAGATCGTGCATTGTAGCATCCCATAAACCCCTCTGTTTCAGCCCTGTTTCAAAAGTGCTGATTCTCTGTCTGTTACTTTAGATGAAAATAAGGAGCCACTCCCCACGCCCCTCTGAGAGATATTTGGTTAATAAGAACACAATGGTGCTCTAGGAGGAGGTTCAGGTGATAAGGGGGGGGGGGTTACCTTGGACGGTGATTGACTAATAGTTACACAAGCCAAAAAAATCGTTATGACATCATAAAGTGGCCAAAATCTGATCAGCTCATTTTCAGACAGGTTTTTATATAAATGGATCAGGACAAAAAGTGAGTGAATCTTTTTTCCTGAAACTTTTAGAATCCCATTACACAGAGGGGACACATGTTTATGTATAAAAGACATGAAAAAGTGGATTTTGCACAATAGGTGACCTTTAAATGGAATCCTTTGTAGAAACCTTGGGAGGGTTTAGTGCCTTGTTTTGCATCAAACGTAATGTTTTTTAATGAAATACCTCCTTAACATGAAGATTGTCTGGTGCTGGTTGTGGAAGATGATTTTTACAATGTTCTTTCCTCTACACGTCACTGACACTGCTGGATGTATTAAGGCACAATTTAAGCCTCATACCTCATAGGTTGTGTCCCAGTAGCCTCAACTACGAACCATCAGGGCTGCCCTCTGTGGGACCTGCGGTCATCAGAGGACCCTATTGTCTCAGAACCAAGGACTAAACAAAGACACAACAGAAAGAAACAGTAATAATTACACTACCAAACACAGGAGGTCCCACCTCACAAAAGTCACTCTGCTGAGCCTGTTTTACAATGTGCTACCCCTTCTTACCACAGTGACAAAAATATGTATGGTCATGAGATTGCAACATTCACATGTTAATACAATGAACGTTTGGAAATTAATACTTTTCAAGTTTATGTAATTGCTAAATCAATGACTGACTCAAATATAAGGTGATATAATGATTGTGAATTGTGCACTTTTTATGAAAATGTTCATCTTTGGGTAAGAAGTCACATTTGCATCAAAACCTAAAGTGGGTCTTATGCAACTGGGAGTATTGTCTTTCATGTTGATACTTATGAAGTCTTAACATTTGACAAGCGATGACCAAACTTGAAAACTATCGGAAAGCCAGTTTTAGAATTGTGTGATTCTTTTTTTTTTTTTAATGCACGTGATGCGAGGGAAAAATGAAGTCAAAGTGAAGCAATGAATAAATATTTATTACAAAAAAGTTGTTGTTGTTGCTGGAGTGGAATTTATTCAATTCATTCAACTAACCAGGCAACCATTTTTTCCCCCCAGACATCTCAGCTTGCACAATGAAGTGCCTGCCAAGATTTCACATTGGAATGCATTGTAATTTCTGCATACAAACCACACATTCGCCTGAAAAACCACATAATCCACTGATTTATTAACATAGTTTTGCAAAGTTATTATATGCATTCTTTTCTTGATTTAATTTATTTTACGTCACATAGATCATTTTTGAAAACCACATTTTAACTATTAAACTGGGAAATGTATTTAAAATGCATGGATTCATAATGTATTAGTTGGTTATTGGCTTATTCTCATTTCAGTCACTACAGTGCAATTGTTTTACCTGGACAGTTGATCAACCCCCATTCCCCTCCACAAAACATCCCTTCCTCACTTCTCAGTGCTCCCTCATTTGACAGGGGGTTGCCCTCTAGTGGCTCCAACTGTAAAGCATCACTCTGAGCCTGTCACCCATGTATAACTTGCTTCGTTTGCTTCTCTTCAACAAAAGACAATGAAAAATAGTTAAAAATAGTTTGCACTTTGGAAGAATTAAAGGAGGGCCGCTGATTGGCCGCCAAGGACTGACTGGGAAACTCAGTAAATCACCAGTGGCTTATTAGGGTGGAAGCAGCATCACTGGAGCCAGGGCACCAATTCTCCAGAGGGAAAGAGAAAGCAATAACAGAGAGCTGAAATGAAGTCTGGAACCACTTCCTTTCCATTCCTTCTCCCAACACTAAGGCAGATGTTATGTATGGTCTAATTTCCACAAGAAGAAAGTATTCCCTGAATATAATATTTTGACATGAATCATTTACAGTTATCCTGATGGCCTGATGGCAATGATATGCCACATATGGTTAACTTTCCTTAATAACCCTCTATCTGTATTGCTACTATCACCTCACGATGCATTGTATTGCATGAGTATCCAGTATCCAAAAAAATGGAGGGGGCGGACATATAGAAGATGGGTGGACCAAAGACACATGACGAAGACTAAAGTAGTTCAACAAACTAGGATATCAGTTCTTATACCCATCTGACGCAAACAGAAGGGGAAAGACACAGACAAAGTGCAAAGAAGACAGAGGACTTGCCTGAGAAAAGAGGCAAGAGATAGGCTACAAACTGAGGGGAGAGCAGAGAATCCAAAGTTTGACATCTAGATACAAGGTGTGTGTGGGCAGAAGGTGAGGGGACGAGTGTGTTTGCAGAAAGAGATCGGGATGAAGCAACACCATGAGAAGTTATCCATCTCTTTGATGATCACTCTCCTCTGTTTGGGGAGCCTGCTGACCACTGCCTTCTGGATCATTGTGGACAACAGGTACGCGTGTCAGTATTGTTCCAACAACCTGTTTTAACAGGTTTTTGTTTGTTTTTCCCCAGGCATGATATATGTTTCTTGTTGGGGAAATAATTTCCAAGGCCCATAACTTTGACCCAGTTTATCAGTTCATACTGTCCTGACTGAGCACAGGCACCTGCAACCTTGGCTGCTGTGCTCTCAGTGTTTTGTCTCCCTGTTCCTGTCTGTTGGCGTCAGCTGATAGAGGTGCAACCTGGTCTCACCAGAATGCGTGACTCCACCACGACTCCTTAACACCGCAGTGCGTGGTGGAGTCACGAACTTTGCTACATTTACGTGTCTGCACCACGCAAACAACCCCAATGTAAAGTGAATGAGGCTCCTTTGTCGTTAACGTTATTTAAAAGATAATTATATTACTATTTGATCATGTCCCCTTTAATGTATTACGGACGCAGAGAGCAATGTGAGCGTCCATTCCCATTGGATAACGGAGGATTTTACACCGGGAAGTCAGTATTCTCCTTACTGTCGATTGATTTTACAGTGATATCTGCACTACTCATCAACTCAAAAACACCAGATTATCCTTGTTAATTACACAACATTGATTGGTTTAAATTGTGTGCAATGCTTTTGTAATTTTCCCCTTCGATTCGGAGAAACAAATATTTGTTCAGAGTTTAGGATGGCCGAAGACACTACACTACCCAGAATCCTCAGCTATTGTTTCGCTTTGCCTCAAGCTCTGTGATTGGTTGACCTCCAACTGCGTTCCATATGAAAAAAAACGTTTCGTAAAAGATAAAATCATACTTTATTCAGCAGTGCTTGCTTTACTCTTTGAAAGTCATCACATGAATGCATTGTAATGAATGGTTTGGCTGCATTAAATATTACACATCTGTCGTAGTTCTTTATTTATCTACAGAGATCGGGTCTCAGAATAGACCGGAAACTATTCTTTTACCGTTCTGTTTTAATTTCACAATAAAGTTAGTAGTAATAATTTGTTTTGATATTATTGTTTTTTATTAACTACTAGACCGCTGGGTAGGGCTGTGCGATTATGGCAAAAATCATAATCACGATTATTTTGGTCAATAATTGATATCACGATTATTAAATAAGATTATTCATTGACTTTGAAAACATCCATTTATTGAACTTTAAAACAAATACAAATAATAATTTGAACAGTATATTTTTAACTGTTGATTACCCTGAATGTATAATTCAACTGAAAAACCAATACAAAAATGATTAAATAAATGATAAATATATATTCACATTTAAATAAATAATATCAAAATAATAAATACCAATAAACAAGATCAACAAATATTTTGGAGCGCACTTCCACAAGCTACTAAACATATATAAATATGATAAATAAAAATAAATTAGATCAAATATGTTGCAGTGCAGTCACAACCTAGCAAAGCAAAATAATAGTTTTTTTCGATTATGTTGTTTTCGTAATTGTGGCAGGCCAAAATCGTAATTGCGATTAAAATACGATTAATTGCACAGCCCTACCGCTGGGTCATGTTAAGACCATCTTTTCTGTGTTGCTGTGGATTTTTTACATCGCTTTTGTGTTACAAATATCAAAACGAGCCTTTCGCGTCACTACGGAGAGACCGTACAGCTGTGACCAGTGTGTGGGAAGATGGCGCTTGTGTCGGCTCGCTGCTCCCTCAGCTCTCTACCTTTAGCTATCCTGTTTTTGTTTTATGTTTGTCAGAATGTCTCTGCTCTGCTCGTCTACGATCGCCAAGCTCTCCTCCACCTCAGACCCTCACTGGAGTTGATATTGCTGCCCAAACCTACATCTGGCAACCATAAATCGTCCCCCCCCCACTCTACTGTCGGATATTCCCACCTACCTGCGCCGGTTGCCCTGCATCCTGCATCGCCGAAAGCGCTTTAGACGATGGGGAAAGCGTGGTGGTCCATCTTAAAGGGGACCTATCATGCAAAATGCACTTTTGTACGTCTTTTATACATGAATATGTGTCCCCGGTGTTCCAGGGAACTCACCAAGTGTCAGAAAACACAACCCTCTCTATTTTCCTCCATACCCAAATCTCTAAAAAAGGGGCTGCAACGGATCTGATAAAAACTGATCCAGATTTGAACACTTCTATGACGTCACAGAAATAACTAACGCTAACTAACCGAACTGTACCTACAACTGTTGTTATAGAAGAGTGTGACAGCCCCAGGGCCTTTGTGCAGGTGTGTTGCAGGTCTTACGATGGGGTGGAGCTGAAGAGGCTAATCAGCGCGATCACGGACACCTGGCCGGAGCCAAGGTGCTATTAAGCCCAGCTGCCCGGAGTCACACGGCGGCCCCTGTCTCTCTCCAAAGCGGCTGCAGAAGGACGAACTCGGCGATTCTCTCCCCTCGACCACCTATCTCTGC